ACTATCACAAAAGCCCAGGGACTGAAAGCCTCTTTGTTGTCATTCCAGACCGTAATGGTTTTTATTGCGACCGAGAATATTCTTGATGAAGTCAAAACTCTTGCATCAAAGCTGCAGAAACGGGATCAAGATATTTTTGAAGCTTACATGATGGTTGACGAAGTAATTGGAAACATCAAGTCCGTTCGAAAAAATATTGACAGCGACTTTCAAGTTTGGTACAAACAAATATTAGACCTTACTGAAAAATTGGGAATTGTTGAAGAAATATATTCTCAGGAAGACACGCATACAGAGAAATCGCTCAAACATTCCCAGCTTTAGTCCAATTTATCATTACAAAAAATCTGTGGCCATTCCCCTCCTTGATACTCTGATTATTCAAACGCAAGACCGATGATCTGACGAATATTGCCACGCCCGTCACCTACTTTATCTAGTACCCTCTATCATAATTAATAATACCCTGAAGGTATCTGAAGCAACAGAAGGCATGTTGTTTTGGGAGAATGATCTTCCATTTCCCAAATCCCTTAGGAATAAGCTGCGAAGATGGCAAATTATGTGGCAGTCAGCGGAGAAGGAACTTCCAAGCAATCTTCTACTTGCACTTGCCGCGTGTGATGAGGATGCTTTTTCAAACATCCATCGTCTTCTCATTGCATGTACCCTACCAATCAGTAATGCGGAAGCTGAGTAGTCCTTTTGCTCATGAAATGGATCAAGACGTGCACCAGATCAACAATAAGTGAAGGGCGCTTTTCAGATCTCGCCATTACTGCTGTGCATTACCCTGAGAGACTCGAGGTAGACGAGATATGCGAGGCCTTTGTAAAAGCTCATCCTGGGAGACTCTTTAAGGCTATGATGTCTGATTGACTAGGTATTTCGAGAAACAACAAATAACTATATTTGATACTGCTGTCGCTTTCAATCATGCACTTTTATTTTTGGGTTTCTTGCTGAGAAATACGCGTTAGTTTCGAAACGCGTAACTTGTGTACTTTTCTGTTACGTTTGTCCCGGTCTATCATTTCTTCGTTGGTTAATTATTATTACTTAATAAGTTTTTTACTTCAATCAGTTTCATTTAAGCACATGTACTAGATATTATATTTCATATTTCATCGCTATAAGTTGCTGTCGACACCATCAATTTTGTCTGCTATTCACGTACGATCCGCTATCGGCAATTTATCTATAATCTTTAGGAGCTAGACCAAATTCAAACCACACAAATTCAGCTTCAACGTTACCATCAATCATAACTACGCTATCTTCAATCTTACTTCGCCCTCTTCATCTCCGATTTCACACCGATCTCCTTATTTCGTTTGTAATTTTGATTACGTACTTCATTTGATTAAACCGTGAGTTATATTGTGCATTCAGATTGTCTTCTCCGCTACACTAGTAACCTTTGAAGGCTACATCAGCTCGAATTTGAGCTTCTAATCTTCGAGTAATCTTCTATGTCATCAACCTACTAAGCTGCCACATCACGACTGTCGCCACGTGGTCGAAGTTATCATGGCCGAGGGCGGTTCCAACAAAATGGAAGAACTAAGCGAAAAACAACACGGCAGAATTACAGAAAGGAATAGCACTCTCTATTGGCAAGGAATCGACGCAGAAAACTTGCGTAAGCTAAAGCAAGCAAGAGGCTGTAAGAAAGGTGTTGTTACCAAAGCGCAGCAAGAGATGGAGTTGAAAGATCCAGCGAATGTGTCCGTACTAAAAGAGAAACTAGAGCAATTAAAGAAAGAGTTTGTGGGCGCTCATGCCGCCTACCGCGATATACTAGAAGATGCATGCGACATCGACAAGTCCAATGAGTATTTCAGAGCGATCAAACAAAACAGTAAGCGACTCGCGAGTGAGATTTCATGCTGGGGGGCGTCAAAAGAAACCGACTTTGATCTTCCCGCGGATACAAATCTCCGGGAGGTTGTCGATGACATTAGTCCCTCGGACTCCATTAGTAACGTTAGTTCTCGCGCTGTTTCTAAGCACTCCCGTGGGTTCAAGTCCAGATCTACTTGTTCCAAAGAATCGGTCGGCAACTCAGTTTTATCCCGGCGAGCAAAGGCTGCTGCGAGAAGAGCTATTTTATAGACAGAGGCCAAGAGTCTGAATAAGTGGCAGGCGTTACAAAAGGAATAAGTTGCTCTTAAAATGAGAAAGAAAGCCTTAGAGCTTCAAACAGAGATCGCAAAGGCTCAAGCCTAAGAACTTGCCTACGAACAAGTCGAAGACCATATTGAAGATCCGTAACAACACAAATGTGGTGCAAAAAGTTTTTACGGGAAAATTTACTGGTTTTTCCGTGTGGTTGTTATTCAGAACATATTTATTTGTAAACTTTCACATTTAACCATTTCAAGTCCTTCCATTTTAATAAATCAAGAAATGTATAAAAGCCACATTGGCTTTTAGAATAGATTTTTGTTGTTACTCACTTTTACTATGCACCTGCTTTTCGGCACTTTTGTTATTTATTACATGGTTTTTAAATAGGTAAATATAAGTGTTAATGGTCTTTCTGGAAACATTGGTTCTCATGGTAGTTAGCAGCTGAGTTTATACTCGTAACTTGACCTATCGTCACAAAGTCAATTCCCAAATAGATCACGATGCTAATCCAATAACCGCAAACCAACCCGCCTCTCCCTCAACCGAGGTGAAATCAGAACCTCTTAAACGTGGCACCTTTGACAACGCCACCACTCGGAATGATGCATTAACCTGGCAGTTAGTACAGGCTCAGCTCTTATAGAAACAACAACTGCAAACTTTGATCGAGTGACACCAAGAGAGTACGTCGGCGCTAGCCCTCCCTCAGCCAAGCGTTCCAGTCTTCGGTGGAAACCCAATCAATTATTGGATGTTCATAAGGGTGTTCGAGAGCTTAACTGAAAAGAAAACTAACAGCCATAGCGCTCGTCTTTACTACCTTGTGCAATATACCTCCGGCGAAGTGCAAGAGCTGGTGAAGAGCTGCCTCTCAATGAAAGAGGAAATTGATTACCAGAAAGCACGTTAACTGCTACAGGGAGCTTATGGATCAAGCTTTAAAATTGCAAGCGCCTACGTAGAAAAGTTGTCAACTAGACCAGCGATCAAGGCCAAAGATGGGGAAGCACTGAGAAAATTTTCCATTGCGCTGACTGGATGTAAGAATACTCTTATGGAAATTGGATATTTGAGCAAGCTTGAAAATCCAGACACACTCAGAGCTATCGTACAGAGACTGCTGTTTGGTTTGAGACATAGATGGCACGAGGTGGCGGACAACATTACAGAAACTCAAAACCGTGAGATAAGTATTGTGGCGATTTCGTCGCTGCCAAAGCAAGAGCAGCTACTTATGCCATATTTGGAGACATTTCCAGCCAAACTCCGCACACTCAAATTCTTCAGCCGAAAGAAGTTAGGGAATCCCGCCATAATGGTCCGTATGCGTATACGGTCCCCTTTGTAGAGATTCAAGACTTGGGTCTACACACGGCTAACTTCATAAGAGCAGACGCAGAACTAGACAACCAGTTCCAAAGGTACTGTCACATGGGGTTCAATGATTCTGTTTATAGTGGAAAACCTTCGCTGTCACAGAACGACAAACGTGCCTTGGAAATCATGCAAGAAGCTGCCGTTTTGCAGGATAGCCATTACACAATCGTGTTGCCATGGAAGGACGACCCACCTTGTCTCGAGAATAAAAGAAGCCTTGCCGAACACGGGCTCAGACTGTGGAAGAAGCATCTGTTCAAGGATCCAGATATGCGAGTGAAGTACACAGCCTGTATAGAAGACATCCTTCAGAAGGGATTTGCAAAGAAGGCTCCACCAACCTGAGTTCCAGGAAAGACTTGGTACCTTCCCCACCATGCTGTGTTTCACCCAGCCAAGCCAGGAAAACTTCACATCTTATTCGACTGTTCTGCTAAATACCGTGGAAGTTCTTTGAACAAAAAGCTCCTACAGGGTCCGGACCTCACAAACTCCCTGGTTGGAGTGCTGACTCGTTTCCGACAGGAGGCTGTTGCTTTCATGGCAGGTGGTTCCTAAAGACTGTAATGCTCTACGATTCCTTTGGTGGCCAAACAGCAACCCAGCAGCGCAACCAGGGGAACTGATGATGGCAGTGCATCTATTTAGCAGAGTTTCAACTCCCAGCTGTGCCAACTTCGCACTCAAGAAGACTGCCAAAGATAATCATTCAACCTTCAGTCCGGAGGCTGTACACACTGTAAAACACAATTTCTACGTAGATGACTGCCTGAAATCTGTGCCAACAGATGAAAGCGCTATCTGTCTCTTGAAAGAACTAAGGGAGCTTCTGTCCAAAGGTGGCTTCTGTTTCACAAAATGGCTGTCGAACTCTCGTAGAGTGGTCGAGTCAATTCCAGAAGCTGAAAGAGCAGCAGCAGTAAAGAACTTGGATTTTGAGCATCCCATCATTGAAAGAGCTCTTAGAGTCCAGTGGCAAGTGGGTTCGGATACCTTGGCTTCAGCATCGGCCTCATTGATAGGCCAGCCATTAGGAGAGGATTGCTGTCGGTCACCAGCTCTGTCTATGACCCACTTGGATTTGTCTCTCCTTTCATCCTTACAGCGAAAGTAATCCTTCAAGATCTCTGCAAAAGGAAGCTCGATTGGTATGACCGAATACCAGATGAAGATCTGAGACGTTGGCAGACATGGCAACTCGAGCATTTCCATGTGGAATGATGCTTCAAACCCTGTGACTCAGGTGAAGTGACTTCCTGCCAACTCCGCTTCTTCTCTGACGCATCACAACTTGCCTACGGTGCTGTCGCCTATCTCCAATTAGTTAATGACAGTGGTGACCTTCACTTCTCCTTTGCAATGGGAAAGTCCAGACTAACCCCTTTGAAACCTGTTCCGATACCAAGAATGGAGTTATCTGCTGCTGTGCTATCAACCAGATTAGACAGACTGATTCGTGATGAAATCAGGTACCCCATAAACAGCTCTGTTTTCTGCACTGACAGTACATGTGTATTGCGCTATGTAGAGAATGACAAGAAGAGATATGAGACCTTGGTCGCTAACCGCGTATTGGCGATAAGTGAACAATCCCTGCCCTCTCAATGGAGGTATGTGGACACAAGGCTTAACCCTGCAGATGATGCCTCGCGAGGAATTTCCGCTGGCGACATAGTTCAGTCTACACACTGGATTAAGGGCCCCGATTTCCTCTGGCATGATGAAGCAACTTGGCCTCAGTGTCCTGCTGCCATGAACGAAGATCAGGGGAAAGACTACAATCTAGATGTAAATAGAGCTCCGTTTGTTAGCCTGGCTTCTGCTACTGCCACACCAATTGAGTCCATGTTCGAACGGTTCTCTAACTGGCGTAAACTTAAAAAGTTCGAGGGTTGGATGCTGAGATCCAAGAATAACTTGCGAAACGCTGTTGTTAAGCGAAAGCAAGGAGGACATTCACCCCCTCAAAGTGGGAAGAAAATGAGACCTCTGGATGTTGAAGAGTCTGCCAAAAGAGCAAACATCGAAGTAGTACAAATCGGCAGCTTTCCAGATGAATGGTTGTCCCTAAAGGAAACAAAGAAGGTCAAGAAGGCAAGTCACGATCAAACTCGATCCAGTTCTTATAGAGGTTCTTGTGTGTTGGTGGCCGCTTACAAAACTCCCCACTCCAAGACGAGATGAAGCATCCTGCCATACTACCCAAAGATCACCATATCTCATAACTCATTGTGCGCTATTATCACAGCACCAGCGGCCATTCTGGACTGGAGCACACTCTTTTCTTAATTAGGGAGAAGTTCTGAGTAGTACACGCAAGAACCTTGCTTCGATGCATCCTAAGCTCCTGTGTTGATTGCAGGAAAAGACAAGCTACAGTTGGCTAAAAGAAAATGGCTAGCTTACCTGCAGATCGAGTGATCCCTTCCGAACCTCCGTTCAGTTATGTGGGCATGGACTGTTTTGGGCCCTTAGTAGTGCGAAGAGCCAGGAGTAGCGCCAAGAGCTATGGTGTACTATTCACCTGCATGATGGTTCGAGCGATTCACCTTGAAATTGTCCACACCCTAGATACAGACTCCTTCCTA